CCGATGGAAAATAATCCATTTAATGATACTGATGAGATGAGCGAGACGCCCTCCAGTACTCGTCGTCAAAGGCGTAGAAGAAAACGGAGAGAATACATGAATGAGGAATACAAAATGGGAGACATCTCATCCAGTGATACTGATGACATGCGCATCAAGCCCTCCAGTATTCGTGGTCAAAGGCGTAGAACAAAACGGAAAGAATCGAATGGTGAAAAATACAAAATGGAACACAATCCATCCAATGATACCGATGAGGAAAATAGTTCGTCAATCTTGAAGTCGACTGATACTTCTGACATGTGGTCTGTTTCTTCATTGGAAGATATTCAGTTTGTGGTGAACACAGCTACAGTAGAAGAGGTAAATGTAAAGACTGCATTACGAGGCTTGGCTGCCAGCGATGAAAAAGACGAACAGGTTGACCGAGAAGATTACGGTGACTCAAAGGTCCAGTCATTCCCATCTGATAAGGAGGTCTCTCCTGACGATCTCCCTTCCACAAACAAATATAATGTTCCTGCAATTATCGGATCAACAAACCTTGATGCTTCGACTGCTAAAGATTGTTCAAATGCAAGCGAGAGATCAACTATCAATCAAGCACAACCTACCGAGGAAGTAATTGCCATGGAGGATTGCCAGGGTGGAGACAGCTTTGGTAAGTTGTTCTGTAAGCATACCACAAAATAGATCCTAATGAGCGGAAAGTATTGTAAAACAGTGCATCTTTATCCACCGAACCGGCGAAAAGAGTCAGTAGAAACATTCCCATCTGCGTGCAAGTAAACCTTTATTCTTGACTGTTGTTTGTACTTTGATTGCTATTAACCAAACAGATTTAATTGGTTCAATATCAACTTCATCAGAATGTGTATATATTCGCCTTCTCTTTTCATTATTTAAGCACGAGTATTTTCTGAAATCTTCTTTAGCTTCCATCGTAAGCAATCAGTTTCCTGAGTTGGCCATTTATGTGGAGACAGAGATTAAGGTTATCGAACACGAGTTGCTTTCATTGCACAAGGTGATGGTTAAATTGGAATTAGAGATGAAAGAAGCAATGGACACTGAAGGTTAGTTTCCTATTTTTTACCTTTGCACGAGTCAATATATAAAAACTAACATATTTGCTACAAACGTGCAGAACAGTGATTTTCGAGAGCCACTATCCTTAATCCCTAGCTTCGAACCTTTCCAGCTGTTCACTTTTGTCAAATAGCAGCCGAACTTTCCTGTCAGTTGAGAGGAATCTTTCGGGGTTCAAAGTGCTTGGTTTCTCTCACGCAACGCTAAAGAAAAACAGTTTCTCTCCTAGGAAGACGTCAAGTTTGGAAACAATTATCCGGGTATACCGTCGTGCCTAATCACAAATTAATAACTTACTAAACACAACTTAAATGCAGCCTTCTTTAATTTCCCTTTTTAGATTGTGAGGCTGAGTTTGAAAGCTTATCACTTGACTGGTTAGCGCTAAATAAGTTCCGTTCTGAACTTGACGAAAGGAAACAAGATCTTCTCACTCTGTTAGTACATCTTATCCTTACTAAGCTGTTTTAAACCTTGCTCGATAGTTGGGAACAAGTCAATATGCCAAATTATGGTAATACATATTCAATAACCAGAACGAATGTTTTAAATTAAACACATATAAGCACTCCTTTTTTCATTAAGCATTTTAATTCCTTGCATTGTATTTCCATTTTAAAGTTTATCGTATTAAAGCCTTATCTTTCGTCTCTGTTGTTTTTAGTTCCAGACAGCAAAACCGGAAAGAGTGTTTGAAGTGCTTACGTCAGGACCTTAAATACCTGTTTGAAGTCAAAGGTGAGAATCAATTTCTAAGTTAGTTCTTCAATGTGATAGTACTAAGTTCTTTTGCATGATGTTAAACAAGTGTACTGTTACCAACACCTGGGTTTTTTTATGCAATCTTTTATTTGTCTGTTATCATATGGTGAGTGATGTTTTATTACGTTTTCTGCGGCAGGTTGGAAGAAAACCAGGGGACACAAAGATCAGGAAAAGAATGTCCTGGATCTTATCCTCAAGTTGACCAACATGGCCTGAATAACAAACTGCATTAAAAGTAGGAAATGTATTTTAATTCAGTTGAAATGCTTTTGGTTCTCTTCTTGTAATCTTACTTTCCATTCTATAATAAGTTTGCCACGAATCATTTGGATTATGTTGATTTCAGAGACTTTATTATAAATAACAATGGCTAATTCTGTTTTTACTTTCCTTTCCATTTTGCAGTTTCGATTTCACAACTTTTTCCTTATTTCTGGTCTGGCTTGTATGGTAACATGTTTGTATATGGCTAAGAACAAGAGATTATAATCTCTTGCAAAAAATCCTTTATAAATCTCTAAATTCTGAGCAATTTCATTTTTCAATGTAAAATTCTTTCTCTTAGAAAATCATTCAGATATTATCCTTGAATCATGAGATTACTTTATTTGTCAAATAAATTTTCATGTGACTACTATGAAAAACTACTATGAATTCAAATAATTTCTATTGTTGTAAAAATTTTCATTTTTTAACGTAAGTAACTATCTTATAGTTCTAGGCAATTTAAAAAAAGACGAGAAAAGATAAAGATATTTATCTTTTCTCGTCTTTTTTCAAATTGCTTAGGACTATTTCATGAGTATAAACACCTCTTTTGTGAATGTAATATCTTAGGTTCAGGGTCACGGACAAAAGATCTAACCAGATTTCTTTTCATTACGATCCTGTTATCTTTTATTTTGATTACGTTTTATTTCTAAGATGAAGGTAGATAGATCTAAAGTAAAGTCACTGTTTACGTATTTCAATTCAATGGCTTTGTTTTCTTCCAATCAGATGCGCTGATATAGAATCATTTGTAATGAAAGTGACGTAAGCGGTTACAAGATCACTGCACGTAACTGAATACTTCACCTTTGGCACTGCACACTTTTTTTCGTTCGTACTTCTCTTTTCTTTTTCTGCTTTTTTTCCGCTTTTTTGTTTGATTTTAGGTGGGTAGGTTATTTATCTTTGGGTACTTTTATCATTTTTAGGTAATCCGTATTTTAAATTTTAACTCAGGTTTTTTAGGTATTTTGTAATTTGGGTTTGGAATCTTTTTTTGTAATTTTCTCATCCTCTCCTTTTTTTCTCCTCTTTTATTATTTTGGGTTGTTTTTGTTTCCTTTTCCCTCTTTCTTTCGTTTCTTCTTCCTTTTTTTCTTTTTAAATAACATTGCCCTTTTCCACCACCTGTATTAACATCGATTCAATGATCGATTTATGTTGGGTGGTTTTCTGGCTGCATGCGTCACTTTTCTTTGCGATCAATCCATAGCAGTGCTGATGATTAACCGAATGCTAAGACAAGGAGACTGGGACTCGTTGAGTACAACGTCACGCCATTACTTCACCAGGGAAAGGAGTAACGTAATCGCCTTAGTTTTTTTCTTTCAAATTGACACGAGATCAATTGTGAACATATTGAGTTGCCTATTCTTCATTGCGATTTTTTTCGCTATTTCCTTATTTTACCTTGACTTGTAATAATTGTAAATAAATGTAAATGAAAAAGAAACACGACTTTTCTCAAGTCTTTTACAAAGTCCATCTTCTCGCCCTTTTGCTGTTGATTTGCCAATAAAAAAGCAATTTCTCATGTTTCATTATTCCCATTAGTCACCATACCCTCACCTCGGTTCAGATTGTTACCCTCTTAGGCATTTCAGATTTGAACGATTCATGACCTTGTTCTTACGGTTTTGATGAGAATTGTAGCCATTTTTTCCAGTCGTGACCGGTTTATAAGGTCAACTGGCCTAGCTCAGATCGACAACAACTCAGTTGAAAGGGTGGACGATTATTAAAAAAGCCAAACGGTTGACATGGCAAAGAATTACACTTTTTATTATTCAAAAAAAAAAATCATATTAAGCAACAGCTAAATAGCAATAACCACATTTTATTCAATTTATTCATTATTCCAAATTGCGGCGTAGCTACGAGCTCAGCAGTAAGAGCTATTTGTAAGGGCGTCCTTGTATCACCGGAGTAAAACAAAATTGCTATCGTATTGACAAGTTTTCATTCAGTGCCTCTAGTGTTAAAATATCACTTAGTGATTATTACTACAATAGAGCACTCAGGGAGAATTACAATCACAGGAACGTTCGCAGCTCATCTGAAAGGTTCATTTTACGCCCTTAGATAAAGAAAAAACAATTTTGGTGTCGCTCGAGCTTGTTGAACCTCCCATGGATGTAACTTCTTGACAGCAGACAAGCATAGGATATCAAAAGTTCTTGTCCAGTACAATGACAACAGATTTCACTCCAGTCCTCCTTGAGCGTAGGTTAATAGTCAACTTGAAACCCTAATGAAGCTTTATCAAAACACCAACCTACCTCTCGTTGTCCAGTTTGTGATTCTGTCTTTAATTGTATTTTTAGGGTGGTCTAAGGTGGGAAGGGGAAAAAGTTTAAGCTATTATGGCTAGGAATGTAGCTTTTTCAGTATTGTTATCACACCTCACATCTCTCCGTACACTGTAAGAATTTGGTTTGTTCAAAAGAGAGGGTCAGATCGGAGGGGGGAGGGGGCACAAATGCGCGCCTTTTATCAACCAAAGTGTCAGGCTTGTATCAGCTGACTGTTAAATGTTTCCTTTATAAATAAATAGGAAAAAAACACAGAAACTATAATTACCTAAATCGTTATGAATCGACTTTAAAGCCATAATGTAGGAAAAAAGGTAAACGAGTGAGGAAATGTAAAGAGGCGGACACTTTTTTTTCCCAAATGGAACTATTTTCCTCATTTAGCTACTTCTACTTCAACAGTTATGGAGAAATTTCAAGTTACTCCAACCGGCCTCAGTCAATGTAGTGCACTGAGCGCGCGCAATATGCATTCGAAGTAATTATTTTCATGGCAACATGACATCACAACGAACGAAGCAGAGATCCTTGGAGTTCATCTGAGAGATTTTGTGAGAAGCATTAATGGCTTGTGTTCTCATACCGTTCCGTCGGGAAAAAACAAGAGCTGATAAGTTTTTGATCACAGCATCTGTTTCGCTACTGAATGTTGAATTACGCAAGAAAAGGTGGTAAGCGACACGATAAAGTATTTTCTTTCTCTCTTTTCTATTAAGAGTTTAGTCTTCGAAGCTGCTTGTCTCACAGAGTCAAATTATTTTTTACTTTTCAGATTAGAAAATGATCAAAAGTTAAACTCTGACGAAGCATACAATTTCGGAAACAATATAAACTTCATTATGATTAATTGAATTGAGGAAAAAAACATGCGTTTTAGAATTTGGTTGAGTTCGATTTCACTGTTGAATACCGCGTGAGACTTAAGCAACAGAAGCAAAGGGTTATTCCCCAAACTGAATATTGTTTGCTCTTTGAAGTTGCAAGACTCGGTGAAAAACAAATACTAGGCTAATTGGTATTTTCCACGGCGGTGCTGCGAGAGAAAGTTTTTTGATAACGGTCAATCATTAACAGCGATGGGGAGGGAGGGGTAAGTTTTACTAGTTACCAGTCTTGGCATAAAGACGTCATGGCGGACGCCTTGAAGATACGATGTACTTCTTTGTCTTTTGTCGTATTCCAAAATGACAAAAGATTTAAGTGCATCTCATCCCTTGAATCGTAAAACGCCAATCGCTTATACAAGGGTAGAATCTGCACTGAACAAAAATATGGTTAACTATGGCAACTTTCTCACATTATGCTGACATTCGTGTTTTGTTCCTCAATTAGGAATCCCCACAAGCTTGCGGTTTTTTGGAAAAAAAGGAAAGTGAAATACAGTACAAAGGTAGTCAACTTAGACTTTGGATCTCGTATCTTTCTCTCTTAGCTCACTAAACGCTATTGATGTCTTAATCGTCAGTTTGAGTTAAAGAAATATTTCTTGCAATTACTTTTTCTCTCAGCCTGTAGCATGGTTTGGAGGTGTTGAAAATGGTTATCGTGGTGTTCATTTTTGGCCTGAGCCTGATCCAGTAGATAGTAAAGTTACTCTCCTCAAGGTAAGTTTCAAACAAAGGCAACATGAGGTACAAATATGGGGACATATTTCCGTAAAGTGCCACAGCATTCGGAAACGAAATTGTGGTCCAAAGGCTTGCTTTCGTTATAGCTTTCTTTATCCAAGAGCTCTATGCATAATGAACTACGGGGAAGTGCGGAAATCTTGGCCAACTTTTTGAAACCATCGTCTTCGTAAACACGTTATACCCACTTACTGAAGCCTTCCTTGCTTTTTTCTTAGGCTTGCTCCTTCCTCCGATTCAATTTGCGTTACGTTTTAAGAAATTTTGAAATAAAAACAGTCCATCTTTCGTTGTGAAGACTTTTTGAAGCCACAAGGTTTTCAATATGGCTTAGCCTCTTGCATTGGATTTACTAAGTAATATTATGCTAATTTATTAATGTTAAATCTAATATAACTTTCATTGTAAAAGTTCAAAGTACAACAGCTGAAGAGAAAAAAAATTATGAAATGCTATTGAATCTATGAAACGTTTGAGGACAGATGATTAAATTTATATTGCCAAAACCATGATATGAACTTTATTTCACAATATTGCTCCCTAGAGGTTAAAAGACACTGCACTGGCAAAATTAATAGGGACCTTAACAAGTCAGGAGAGTGATGCCAAGGAAGACAAACTGATTAAAAAATAAATCTATATTTTGTTTGGAATTTCCTGTATGGCGGCATGAATGTTTTTGCTGTCTCTAACAGTGCCGCATCTCAACCTCTGCATAATGTGTGTGATTCACATTGAGTTCCATATTGAAAGTGAATTAATTTTCTGTCAGTGTTCCTGTACACAGACCACAGACCATGCCAAATTTGGTTACTTCACGTTGTTGTTTGGCCAAGGACAGCTTCAACATAAAAAAAGTTCTAAACACTAGTGCTTAGCTATTGTTCTGCTCATTTGGTCTTTTGTTTTGCCACATATTTGTTTCCATCATTCTCATGATTTGTCCAAGGTCCCTAATATTGTTGTTATCAAGTTTGTTTCTTTGTTTTAAAACAATATTTATTTGTATTTGTAGAACCCAGAAGATGAAATGACAGAATATCAAGAAAAGCAGTGGAATATTTACATCTGTAATGTAAGCTTTTCCCTTTTCAATATTATGCAAGCATGTAGTTGCTCTTTAATATTATTTTCACTCCACACAGTTTGGAGTAAATCTGAACACTGTTCATCTTCCTCTTGCTTCTTTGAAATCATTAGGTGTCTCCCAGTGGTTGTCAACAGCTTCTGGCCACTGGCTGTATTGATATCAGCAATTATATTACAGAGATGCCTGGAAAAGTGGACGTTACTGTCACCCTTAAGCCAAGCAATCAAGAAAGTTGTTTGTGGCAAAATTGAGTTTGAATTGTCATGGATTATCCAGGAAGATGATGGAGTCATTCAGTGAATATTCTTCAGTAATTTCCATAGCTAGTTATTGTAATGATCATCTAGCCTATGTTTGGCATTTATAAGTCAGTTACTATCATGATGTTATTTTAGATCCATGAACTTGATCAATAAACTTTCAAAGTGAGATATTATCATTTTTGCTGCATAATCACAAGGGTCAACTAAAATCTAAAGTTTACCTGCTCAATGGTTTTATTCATGCAATTATTATTTGTTTTGTCTAAAAGTAATTGTATTGTGAAATTCCATTAACTCTTTTCAATTACCTTTACAGTCCCACAGATGAAGAGATATGGGAAGAGATAATGCAGGAGGTCAGGGAGGAACAAGCAAGAAGAAAAGCTGAGGGAAAGACAGCCAAGTATAAATCTTTGAAAAAAAGAAGGCACAGGAAACGTGGCTGCTCAAGTGATACAGACATTGCGACTGAAGAAGACAAAAAGAAAGATAAAAGCAATAAAGTTGGCTGCTCAAGTGGTACAAAAATTGCTGTTGGGGAAGATAAAGAAACTATTGAACAACAAGGTGGCATCTTCCCAAATGCTGAACCTATGGTGGATCCCTCATCTGGCAGCAATACCAAAGTGGGGTCAGGAAAGGTCGGGAGGCAGTCTTCACCTCATCATGCACATCTTAGCCCTGTTTCACCCCAAACACACCCACCTGCTAGCCAGGGTCTGCCATTAGAGAGTGAAGAGAAAAAAGAGGTGCAGAGTAAAAGGAACCTTCATAAAACTGTCAGGTTTCAAATTGATGAACAGCCTGAGGTATTACATCTTGTTGTACATGATGAAGAAGCACTGAACTCCTTGTCTGTGTTGTCTTCAGAAACTGTTTACAGAGAAACAGTTTTCATAAAAGAAGATGAAGTTGCAACAAAAGAGAAGTGCATTCCCAAGAGAAATGAAAATTCATGTAAGTTCTGTTTTGATTTCCAGCCTCCCATTCCAAATGGAAAGGGGCTTAAATTTGAATACTTTTCTCCTGTTTGATCTGATTTATTTTCAATCAAACAGTTTTATTGTAAGACTCCTTGGAACCGTGAGCTAAAAGCACTAAATAAAAATCATAACTTTTAATTTTTTTAATCTGAATTACATCTATTTTTGTTGATTATTGATGTTAACTTTTTTGTTCAGCCTCAAGTGGAAGCCAGCTTCATTCAGAGTTGGCCAGTTATATTGAAGAGGAACTGAAGCTTGTTCAAGATGAATTATTATCTTCGGAAGAAGTCTGCTCAAAAGTAAAACTTGAAATGCAGAGAGCTATGTCATCAGGTGGGTGATCCATTTCCAAAATGATAAAGTGAAATACCTTGGAATTTCAAAAAAACTTATGTTAAGTTCTTTTCCCCACTTATGAGCTATAAATCTTTAACTCCAGGATCTTATTGGTAATTCTCTTTACTGTCTGCAGTACAATTCTTATGATATTAGATCAGTAAAATTGGTATTGAATGGATTAATGCTATTGTTTTGATATTGTAAGGATAAATTCTGTCTTGATCATTCTCAGGAGTGAAAGGGTTAAAAATATTAAAAAACAGCTAATTCCCAAACTAGAGATACTGCAAGTTTTTACACTTATTTCAGGTGTTATAAGCCATGCTTAACTTACACAGCTTATACAATGTATTTGTTTACTTTTTGTCTGTAGACCACAAAGAAGAGTTTGAAAGCTTAAACCAAGGCTGGATTATATTGGATAACTTCCATTCCAAAGTGATGAAAAGAAAAGATGACCTTCTTGCCCTGTAAGTAATAAAGACTTATTTTAGAAACAAAATAAACATGTTCATTATGACCTAAAATGTAGTCTTACATTGTAATCCATGATCCAAAAACTCTGCACAGGTGCCTATATATGTTTACCAATTGCCTTTGATATGGATAACTGATCTATCTATCATATATTGCTTAATTAGTTCCTCTGGATTCATTTTTATTTCATACTATTTTTGTTAATAATAAAAAATGTGAGCAATGGATTGAATAATGTTTGATTTACAGATCGAGAAGTTCCATTGTTTGTCCTTGTTATTTATTTGGGTTTTTCAGAGACTGTAGTGGTTCTGCTTAACTAAAGGTTGTATTTAGCTTGAGGCAGATTTGCTTGATTTTCTGTTTTCCTTTTACCAATATAGTGACAAAGGAAAAAACATTGAAAATTGTCTTAACTTGCTGTGTTCAGATTTGAGACACCTTTCAGAAGTGGAAGGTAAGTATTCAGTTGTTTCTCCTCCTTTTTCTCAGTTTAGTGTTATTGGGACTGGTTTAGTGAGCCTTGATTCTTAACCCTTTACACCCTAACATCATTCTGTATATATATATGTTATTTGCCGGCTGGGAGGTCCGTATGGTGAAAAACTTTGACCGAGGTCTTGAAAATACTGCCCGAGGCCGTAGGCCGAGGGCAGCATTTTCAAGACCGAGATCACAGTTTTTCACCATGTACGGACCGACCCTTAGCCGGTAAATAACGTATTTATTGTTTTTAAACTTGACGAAATTCTTTCCGAAAGAACCCGAATGGCTTATGGCCGTAAATACGGCAAGATCTTCCATAAACTGAACAATTTTTGAGTGAGTAAATGGTAGTTAAAATAGAGGTGATGCAAATTTAAGAGAGATGCCTCAGCGAAACATTTTCATTTCCGTAACGATAAAAGTGATTTAAAAGGCTTCCAAACAAACTTTGAAACATTATTTTTACAAGATCTGTCACAATCTGACACCTGTCAATTAAAAAAAAAATCGTAGGAACATTTGAAAACCAACAGAACCAGTTTGGCAACGACTGTCATGACAATGTTTTCTTAAAAATCAGTTAATGATCTAACGGAAAGTATTATTTACTCTCATCGACCATTCATTCATGTACGAAGATTTACCTCTGTTCATTAAGTAAACGGCGAGGAAAGTAATTGTGAGTAAATTCAATTTATTTTGAAGTTGTGGGAGTTTGCTTGTTTGTTTGCTGTAATGGCGTGTTTAACTCGGATCTTTCCTTCACAAAAACTAAATTCGAACGGCACACTCCAACGAGACACAAGGGAATTTAATGCAGCCTTTTCTCAATTCCTTCAATTTCTGTTGTGCAATTTAAGGTACAAATGTCCAAATTGAACGGAATTGGAAAGACTATCCAGGAGCGTATATTTGTTGTAGAACTTAAATTAAAACTTCGCTCGCTTTTTTTTTACTATGAACAAATTGCTCGAGAAAATTCAGATATTAAATGAATGAAAGTTCCATCGTTCAGTTTAACTGTAACCAAATACCTCACGTTTCAACTTTCTGGGTACTTTTTGTGAACGATTAAAATTAATTGCAGACGGTTTTTAGGCCGCTTGTCAACCAACGTAATGACACTATTGTTTATACAAATTCATTCTGAAACCAATATTTTTCTGTCAACCAAAGTGATTTGATAGAGAGAAAAGGGAGGATTCATAAGTTATTTATCGGCTTGAGGTAGTGACCGACGTGTTTGCTTAAAAATACTGCCCAGCCGGAAAACGAGGTATATTTATGAAAAATGACAACGAAAGTTGGGATGTACTCGGCGACTCACGAAAGCGTTACCGTGGCCCGTGGGCAGAGATAGGAAAATACTGACCAGGTAAAGAACCAATCAGATTGCAAGATTAGTTACCGTGCCCTCTAAAAAAACAATAAATATAAATACTCCAAAGTGTTGTCTTTACATTTCCTAAGGTGCTGACAGGTGAATTTGTTTAACAACCTTGAGTTTCTTTACATAGTGATCATTTCCTTTATCCTTGTGATATTCTAAAGAGAAATTAGATGCTATTCACTCTTCAGGGCCGAAGGCATAAGCCAAAATGTAGATGAAGGAAACAATGTTTTGTATTTTGATTTTAGGGTGGAGGAAAACAGATGAGAACAAAGCTCATGAAAAAGAGTTGCTGGACTCATTGCTGCAATTCGCCAGCAAAGCCTTCATGCCTAAATAACGGTAAGAAACAGTAATCTTAACTAATTTGAAATGCAAGTTATTAATTGTGGCTCTAACACTTCATATTATTGCAGTCAATATTATATCTTAATTAGCTGAAATTCAAGGCTTATAGCTAATTTAATTTTCAGTGTTTTTGATTACCACAATCTAGCAATAAAACATACTGTCAATAATTCTGTCATATGAAGTGGTGCAGATGTTCTTATCTTGGTTTATTTTCTTTTTGCATTTCAGAATGAATGAAAATCTGTCTACTATTTTTGAATATTGGTCATTTGTGTTTTAGATTCTTGTGAAAAAAATTGCGGCAAGAATTGCCAATAGTAAGAACATGCTGCTGCTCTATTTTCAAACAAATTGTTCTTTAATAAGTTCATTTATAAAAGTATCTTAAGTATGATTTTTCTAAAAATTATATATAATATTGAGTGCTCTATATTCAGAAAGAAAAATTCTTTTGATGAAACATTTCCTCTCACCATTGTAAATAATCCTTTGTAAATAGGCCAAAATATGTTTTGTAAACAGGTCATGGTGCATTCTTGTTGCAATCTTTAACGGGATTTTAATTTTTAAGAATTAATTTCTTCCTGCAGTTTTTATGAAACCACTGTAAGTTGTAATAACAGCACATTCCAAATCCTTTTCCTTCTTTTGAAATGATGTACTTTAAATAGTTTTGATAAAACAGATCTCCTGTCTTAATTGTAAACCATAACTTATGGTTTGTGAAGTGTATCATCTGTACAAAGACACTTTTTCCTGCGATATTCATGAAGCCACTGTTAAAGTAACACATTCCAAATTATTTTTCTTATTTCCAAAAGATCAACTATTCCAATAGTAACTCACAGGTAAAAGACCTAATACTCTCTTGTCAATATAACTTGCCTAAAAATGAAGAAGATTTTTTGAGGTAAAGCAAAGCAAATGTCAACAGTCATGCTAAGTGATTACATGTGCACATGCGGCAGTTTGGTTTATAAGTGAATCAGTATCAGTGCTGATGTTGGGGGAACACATTGTAATGGAGACTGAGAGACAATCAGAGTGACTTCGATATATATTTAGAACTTAACCTCACAGAAATTAAATTACATAATCGATTCAACTTGACCTTTCAAATCTGTGACATGTCAGTCCTCATTAATTTAAGCTTGAAACTCTTTCTTGGTGCAGTTGAAGTCTTTTTTGTCAATCACACACGAAGTTTTTTTCTTTGTTGCATAACATTTTATATGTAAGACTCTTGTACTGACATTGGTATTGAGGTCATTATGCAGTGGCTCTGAAATAAAAAAAAACAGTTAAAAGTTTATGCTCATAACTTCCTGTTGTTATTGGATGGTTTCTTTTAATTTGTAGTACTTTTGTATGTACATTACTACTGAGATCATTTTGCAGCGGCTTCAAAGTATGAAAAAAATCTGTAATTATTTTCTGGCTACTTATCATATTGTTTTTCAATGTTCTTCTATGAATGTTGGTTTTGAGATAATTATGCAGTGGCTTCAAAGTATGAAAAGAAAAACCTGTAAGTTAAGTATTAATAAACTTTGTTTTTGTAAGGTATGTGATGATTATTATTGTGTTCATGAGGCCATTTCGATTGAGTGTCGAAATTAAAGTGATCCGTGATTACGACAGTTTTACCTCACCATCCTCAGTGATTGGGCCAGAAAACTCGCCCCAAATGTAGTACTACAACCTAATGAGAGAGATATGTGGGAACTATTAGATGAGCCGGGCTGATTATGTTTTACAAGATGACTATCGTCCCGTTTTAAAATTACCTTAGCCAGTTAAGATTGAAATGAAAGTGTTAAAGAAACAAACCAAAGAAATAATGGTTTTGACATCAAATATAACAATCAATTTTGATAACAAGTAATGTGATAATCAGGATATGTATGGTACCATACGATACACAGGCCACTATCCACTCAGAGCTTTCACCCCACTTCACAGGTTAGAACTGTTGTGCAAGATTTTAAAAGAAGGAAAGTCATAAACATAAACGGTAAAAAAAGTTGCGTAACTGTGTAATCATGGTATTAAAATCGCCTGGTTGTTAATTTACCACCGTCACCGAAACGTGGAGGGGGACAGGGGGCAGGAGCCCAGGAGAACAGGAGGCGGGAGAGGGCGGGAAGCAGGAGCAGAGATAAAGGCGGCAATAGTTTGTTGTTTATTACTGGATATTATTCAATCAAAAAAACTTACCTAGCAAAGTTTTGAAATTTCCATTTAACAACACAGGTGCTTAAAAGAAAATTTTGGAAGCAAGAAAACGTAAATTTGTACTCGGGCTGGAAAAACAGCATTACTTCCGGTGAATTTGGAAATCTCTTCAATTCGATTACGAGATAGCATGACACATGACACATGTGCACGTCCAGTAAGTTTTAGCTGTCGAAAATCTCCAGCAAAGAAAGCGATTCAGGTTCATACAGGTCAAATGTCGTCAAAGACTACATTAATCGGCCTCATATTTTTCGGTGTGTCAACGAAAAATCCGTTCATGGAAGACCTTGGGAGCTCGCCCCGTACGAGTGCACATCCTAAATTACTGAAGATTTTGCCTTCAGGTGCAAACTTAAAACTTTCCGCAAAAGTTTAAATAAGATTTTAACCTATCAGGCAAATCTGATAATCAGCCGACTGCGAATGTTCAATCATGCTTCACTAGCACTTAAACTGAACACTCAAATGCAAACGGTTCAATAATCGATGTGCAGTGATTTAAATCATCCTTTGGAGTCAGCTTTTTTATTTGTTCACGACTAGCTACGACAAGTTACTTACGTCAAAAAGGGAAAGCAAGCACGGATACAGGAGAAGCAAACTCTAAACGTTACGTTTGGGTCTTGAATTTTTATTTGATTTTGAAATTACAATCCTAAATGCCTATATTAAATTGCAATAGCTATTACATCACACAGAGGACTGAGACTTTCGTCTCTATAACGAGATGTCAGAAGCGATGGTCAAACTGTGATAACCAGGTTAAACTTAGTTTAATTAAGAAAAATGACCTGCAATAACTTTCATCGGTCCGATGATCCTCCCGCCAAAACAAAGGCCAGAAGATGAACAAGGATGTTAAGTTTTGGCTAAGTTTGAAAGTAAGTGATTGATTAGCCAGAAGAAGGGAGCAACACAATCAAGGGTGGGAGTCGGGAGGCAAAGGTGCACAAAAGTACGGGAGCGGGAGAACGTGGCACAGGAAGCAGGAGACTCTGACCCTCCTGTCACCCCTTCACCGAAAAGTGAATAACATCTGCAACTTACAGAAGTACGGGAAGCGGGAGAACGTGGTACGGGAAGCTGGATACTCTGACCCCCCGTCCCCCCTCACCGAATAATGAGTAACATCTACAACTTACAGTAAGGAGAAGGGGACAGGCTAATTTCCCAAGCAGCGCTAGCTATTGAGTCTACATCCTCTTTCCCAACCATTCTTCCTCTTTCGAGAGGCGAAAAAAGGACCCTGAGAACGGGTCTATTACTTCCTCGCGTGCGTAACATACTAAAGGTAGTATACATACAAGAATCAGAGCAGTCACGCTTTTTGTCTTGCTAGCCGAGTGAGAGAATGATAGGGCCCGTGCACGTCATCAACAACTGTACATTTACTGCGGTCGCCTGGTGAACATTTCTTTGTGCACCGGGAGCCTGGGGCAGTTGCATCCACTTGACAGTGAGCGAAAGCAAATGAATGATCAGCAATGAACTTGAAAACTCCTAGGTTAAACCTCTGTAAGCTGACAGCGTGAGCACCTACCACTGCCTCCTTAGGCTTACCGCGCATTTCACAAAGATAGAGTTGCACAAGGTCAGTCATTCCATCTTCTTCGCCTCTCAATGGACATGACGTGTCCACAATCCTCCTTCCCGCTTGAATTGTTAGTTTCCATATCGTTCCAGGGAGTATAACTAACTCGAGATCCGTCAACACACATCCAGAGTCTTTTGGCACTAGGATGTCTATACAAGCTGCTTCATATCCATTCATTTGGTGTACGTAGAGAGGCAACGGCTTGTTGCTCGGGTGCTCAATTTCTCGAGGCAAGCTTGCCTCGAGAAAAGTAAAAAAAGTGAAATTAAAAAGGCCAAGTGGTAATTTAGGAACGATTTTGCAAATAAAAAGACAACTAAAAATAAACGGCATTTGTAATGTCCATGCTAGATTCACTTCGCTGTCAAATTTAATGCTGGTTTTCCGAGGAAAATCAACCGAACAACAAAACTTTTCATTTATTTTCATTCCTATATGGCCAACTAGTAAACTGCAAGCAGTTTATTTATTTTTTAAACGTCTCAGAGTTTTTACGTGATTTTCTGTTAGTATCTAATATTGGCTTTACGCATCGTCATCACGCTTAACTGAACGGTATTTCGGCGTGCACATCAGTATAAAACAATTACGGCTTTTTTCGTTACGGAGGAAGCTTGATATAAAGAAGTATGACGACTTATCATTTATTTTGAATCAAGTCATAGCTTTCGTTCCTGTGAAAAATCAAAAGAACTATTTACAGCGGCGCGGTACACTGGAAATGAGACTAGAAGCTATCGTCATGGCTACATGACATCACAATGGATAAACAGAAGATTTTCATTCCTCTGAAACGCATATGATCGTTTTGAACAAAAGGAAGCAATCATGAGTTTTTTTAAGAAAATGCGTGGAAAAAGTCGAGGTAAAAATCATCAAGAATTACAATTCAGAGCTTCGGTTCCTTCTCCGACTGTGGAATGTGCCAAGGACAAATGGTAAGTGGAGAAAAAAAGAGTAGAAAACTCATCGGGAAAAATCACCGATAAATGTAGGCATGTTAGATTTAGGTGGAGTTTCTTTTTTCTATTTGCGCTTTTGGTACGGCAAGAGAATAAAGCAGCCGTTACCAAAGAAAACACGCAAAAGAAAAAAAACGAACAGTTTATTTTTAAGTCTGGGACAAAAAACTGAATGACTCCAAGCAATTTACCACTTAACTTGCGCTTTTTTAGTTTCATCGATGCGCGCTAAATCTCAGTTTAAAGAGGCCAATGATATAATTTTTGGAAATCGCGGGGATATGACGGCAATTGAGACTCAGAAAAATTGAACTGAAAACCTCTGATTGACTGATGTGAAGATAACAAGATCCCAAATTTTCGAAACTCCATTTTCAAGGAAGGCTTAGATATAAAGCAAGTTCATAAAAAATTGAGTCAAAGTGTTACTTCTTGCTCTTTTAGAGTATTAAGGGAACATTTTGATTACTTGAATTCACTGTACACTTGTGATTATCTTGCAGTCTCCCAGACAAGAAAGATACCATCAGGGAAGAAAGCAGGAGACTGTCGCGTCCAAGATCCTTAAAGAGCTTCCGAAAGGAAAAACGCCATGGCGATGTTACCAGTGCTGCTGCCTGTTCGAACGTGGCCACCACAAAGATCAATGCTGCTCCACTTGCTCCATTGTCAGGCGTCGTTGGTAACCATGAGAAAAAGAAGGAAGCGAAAGCTGGTGCTGACACTAAGGGTAATAGTTCTCAGGCTGTTTCGTGTCGAGGCCGCAATAAAACAAGATCAGGACCAAGAAAGGTCAAAAGGAAAGCTCCACCTCCACCGATGCCTCTCTCTGAGAGGCCTTCCGTTTCTCATACCAGTCCATCCCAGTCTGGTTTACCTCGTCCTGTTTCAGCCCGTCCTTCTCCTCCGATACCTCCACCGCGTCAACCACCAACTTGTAAGGCGGCTTCACCTCGCCCCCCTCCACCCAATATGAAGCAGCCTGGAAAAAAGAGTGATACCACAAGTGTTAAGAAGAAGGAAAACGAAATGCGCCACTATCCAAAAGATCTAAACCCGTTTGCAAATTCAAACGGTACCACCGATAATGACTTCTCGTCCCAGAACAGCGGGAAGGCCTCCAGTGCTCGTCGCCAAAGGCATAAAAGAAGACGGAAGAACTCTAAAAGTGGAGAATACCCGATGGAAAATAATCCATTTAATGATACTGATGAGATGAGCGAGACGCCCTCCAGTACTCGTCGTCAAAGGCGTAGAAGAAAACGGAGAGAATCCATGAATGAGGAACACAAAATGGAAGACATCTCATCCAGTGATGCTGATGACATACGCATCAAGCCCTCCAGTATTCGTGGTCAAAGGCGTAGAACAAAACGGAAAGAATCGAATGGTGAAAAATACAAAATGGAACACAATCCATCCAATGATACCGATGAGGAAAATAGTTCGACAATCTTGCAGTCGACCAATACTTCTGACATGTGGTCTATTTCTTCATTGGAAGATATTCAGTTTGTGGTGAACACAGCTACAGTAGAAGAGGTAAATGTAAAGACTGCATTCCAAGGCTTGGCTGCCAGCGATGAAAAAGACGAACAGGTTGACCGAGAAGATTACGGTGACTCAAAGGCCCAGTCATTCCCATCTGATAAGGAGGTCTCTCCTGACGATCTCCCTTCCACAAACAAATATAATGTTCCTGCAATTATCGGATCAACAAACCTTGATGCTTCGACTGCTAAAGATTTTTCAAATGCAAGCGAGAGATCAACTATCAATCAAGCACAACTTACCGAGGAAGTAATTGCCATGGAGGATTGCCAGGGTGGAGACAGCTTTGGTAAGTTGTTCTGTAAGCATACCACAAAATAGATCCTAGTGAGCGAAAAGTATTTTAAAACAGTGCATCTTTATCCACCGAACCAGCGAAGAGAGTCATTAGAAACATTCCCATCTGCGCCCAAGTAAACCTTTATTCTTGACTGTTGCTTGTATTTTGATTGCTCTTAACCAAATAGATTTGATCGGTTTAATATCAACTTAAACAGAATGTGTATACATTCGCCTACCCTTTTTATTATTTAAGCACGTGTATTTTCTGAAATTTTCTTTAGTTGCCATCGTAAGCAATCAGTTCCCTAAGTTGGCTTTTTATGTGGAGACAGAGATTCAGGTTGTCGAACACGAGTTGCTTTCATTGCACAAGGTAATGGTTAAATTGGAACTGGAGATGAAAGAAGCTATAGACACTGAAGGTTAGTTTTCTATTTTTTACCTTTGCATGAGTCACTGTATAAAAACTAACATATTTGCTACAAACGTGCAGAACAGTGATTTTCGAGTGCCACTATCCTGAATCCCTAGCTTCGAACCTTTCCAACTGTTCACTTTCGTCAAATAACAGCCGAACTATCCTGTTAGTCGAGAGGAATCTTTCGGGGTTCAAAGTGCTTGGTTTCTCTCACGCAACGCTAAAGAAAAACAGTCTCTCCTAGGAAGAGGTAAAGTCTGGAAACAATTATCCGGGTATACCGTCGCGCCAAATAGAGGGTGATGCATGTAACTAACTAAACACAAATTAAATGCAGCCTTCTTTAATTTCCCCTTTTAGATTGTGAGGCCGAGTTTGAAAGCTTATCACTTGACTCGTTAGCGCTAAATAAGTTCCGTTCTGAAGTTGACGAAAGGAAGCAAGACCTTCTCACTCTGTAGGTACATCTTATCCTTATAAAGCTGTTTTAAACCTTGCTCGATCGTTGGGAACAAGTCAATATGCCAAATTATGGTAATACATATTCAATAACCAGAACGAATGATTTAAATTAACCACATATAAGCACTCCTTTTGTTATTAAGCATTTTAATTCCTTGCATTGTATTTGCATTTGAAAGTTTATCGTATTAAAGCCTTATCTTTCGTCTCTGTTGTTTTTAGTTCCAGACAACAAAACCAGAAAGAGTGTTTGAAGTGCTTACGTCAGGACCTTAAATACCTGTTTGAAGTCAAAGGTGGGAATCAGTTTCTAATTTATTTCCTCAGTGTGATAGTACTAAATTTTCTCTTGTATGATGTTAAACAAGAGGTTTGTTACCCACGTCTGGGTTTTTTTATGCAATCTTTTATTTTTTTGCTATCGTATGGTGAGTGATGTTTTATTACGTTTTCTGCGGCAGGTTGGAAGAAAACCAAAGAACACAAAGATCGGGAAAAGAATGTCCTGGATCTTATCTTCAAGTTGACCAACATGGCCTGAATAACAAACTGCATTAAAAGTAGGAAACTTGTATTTTAATTCAGTTGAAATGCTTTTGGTTCTCTTCTTGTAATCTTACTTTCCATTCTATAATGAGATTGCCACGGATCATTTGGGTTATGTGGATTTAAGAGACTTTATTATAAATAACAATGGCTAATTCTGTTTTTACTTTCTTTTCCTTTTGCAGTTTCGATTTCACAACTTTTTCCTTATTTCTGGTCTGGCTTGTATGGTAACATGTTTGTATATAGCTAAGAACAAGAGATTATAATTTCTTGCTAAAATTCCTTTGCAAATCTATAAATTCTGAGCAGTTTCATTTTTCAATGTAAAGCTCTTTCTCTTAGAAAATCATTCAGATGTTATCCTTGAATCATGAGATTACTTTATTTGTCAAACAAATTTTCATGTGACTACTATGAATAACTACTATGAATTCAAATAATTTCTATTGTTGTAAAAATTTCCATTTTTTAACGTAAGTAACTATCTTTATCTTTTCTCGTCTTTTTTTGATTGCTCAGAACTATTTCATGAGTATAAATACCTCTTGTGAATGTCATATCTTAAGTTCAGGCTCACGGACAAAAGATCTAACAGGGTTTCTTTTTATTACGACCCTGTTATCTTTTATTTTGATTACGTTTTATTTCTAAGATGAAGGTAGATAGATCTAAGGTAAAGTCATAGTTTACGTATTTCAATCCAATGGCTTTATTTTCTTCCAATCAGATGCACTGATATAGAATCATTTGTAATGAAAGTGACGTAAGCAGTTACGAGATCACTGCACGTAACTGAATACTTCACCTTTGGCACTGCACACTTTTTTTTGTTCGTACTTCTCTTTTCTTTTTCTGTTTTTTTTTTCCCGCTTTTTTGTTTGCTTTTAGGTGGGTAGGTTATATATCTCTAGGTACTTTTATCATTTTTAGGTAACCCGTATTTTCAATTTTAACTTAGGTTTTTTTTTTTTCGTATTTTGTAATTTGGGTTTTGGAATCTTTTTTGGCAATTTTCTCATCCTCTCCTTTTTTTCTCCTCTTTTATTATTTTGGGTTGTTTTTGTTTCCTTCCTTCTTTCTTTCGTTTTTTCTTCCTTTTTTTTCTTTTTGAATAACATTGCCCTTAACAGCGATTCGAACGCTGTGGGTTATGTTGGGTGGATTTCTGGCTGCATGCGTCACTTTTCTTTGCGATCAATCCATAGCAGTGCTGATGATTGACCGAATGCTAAGACAAGGAGACTGGGACTCATTGAGTAGAAAGCCACACCATTACTTCACCAGGGAAAGGAGTAACGTAATCGCCTTAGGTTTTTTTCTTTCAAATTGACTCGAGATCATTTTTTAATCAATTGTGAACATATTGAGTTGCCTGTTTTTCATTCCTATTTTTTTCGCTATTTCCTTATTTTACCTTGATTTGTAATAATTGTAAATAAATGTAAATGAAAAAAAAACTCGACTTTTCTCCAGTCTTTTACAAAGTCCATTTTCTCACTCTTTTGCTGTTGATTTGCCAATAAAAAAAACCAATTTCCCATGTTTCATTATTCCCATTAGTCACCATACCCTCACCTCGGTTTGGATTGTTACCCTCATAGGCATTTCAGATTTGAACGATTCATGACCTTGTTTTTACGGTTTTGATGAGAATTGTAGCCATTTTTTTCCAGTTGTGACCGGTTTATAAGGTCAACTGGCCAAGCTCAGATCGACAAGAACTCAATTGAAACGGTAGACGATTATTGAAAAAGCCAAACGGTTGACATGGCAAAGAACTAAACTTTTTATTACTCAAAAAAAAATCCTATTAAGCAACAGCTAAATAGGAATAACCACATTTTATTCATTTTATTCATTATTCCAAATTGCGGCGTAGCTACGAGCTTAATAGTAAGAGCTATTCGTGAGGGCGTCCTTGTATCACCGGAGTAAAACAAAATTGCTATCGTATTGACAAGTTTTCATTCAGTGCCTCTAGTGTTAAAATATCACTTAGTGATTATTACTACATATTACTGAGCACTCAGGGAGAATTACAATCACAGGAACGTTCGCAGCTCATCTAAAAGGTTCATTTTACGCCCTTAGATAAAGGAAAAACAATTTTGGTATCGCTCGAGCTTGTTGAACTCCCCATGGATGTAACTTCTTGACAGCAGACAAGCATAGGATATCAAAAGTTCTTGTCCAGTACAATGAAAACAGATTTCACTCCAGTCCTCCTTGAGCGTAAGTTAATAGTCAACTTGAAACCCTAAAGAAGCTTTATCAAAACACCAACCTACCTCTCGGTGTCCAGTTTGTGATTCTGTCTTTAATTGTATTTTTTAGGGCGGTCAAATGTGGGAAAGGGAAAAAGTTTAAACTATTATGGCCAGGATTGTAGTTTGTTCATTATTGTTATCACACCTCAAATCTCTCCGTACACTGTAAGAATTTGGTTTGTTCAAACGAGAGGGTCAGATCGGTGGAGGGAAGGGGGGACGGGCAAGGGGTAGGGGGTACTAAATGCACCCTTTTTTTCAACCAAAGGGTCAGCTTTGTATCAGCTGACTGCTAAATGTTTCCTTTATAAATAAATAGGAAGAAAACACAAAAACTAGAATTACCTAAATCGTTATGAATCGTACAAATGAACAAATAGAGGCGGACATTTTTTTTCCCAGATGCAACTATTTCCTCATTTATCTACTTCTACTTCAACTGTTATGGAGAAATTTCAAGTTATTCCAACCGACCTCAGTCAATGCAGTGCACTGAGCGCGCACAACATGCATTGGAAGCAATTATTTTCATGGCAACATGACATCACAATGAACGAAGCAGAAATCCTTTTAGTTCGTCTGAGAGATTTTGTGAGAAACAGTAATGGCTTGTGTTCTCATACCGTTCCGACGGGAAAAAGCAAGAGCTGATAATTTTTTGATCACAGCATCTGTTTCGTTACTGAATGTTGAATTACGCAAGAAAAGGTGGTAAGGGACACGATAAAGTATTTTCTTTCTCTCTTTTCTCTTAGGAGTTTAGTCTTCGAAGCTGCTTGTCTCACTAGAGTCAGACTTTTTTTCACTTTTCTGCTGAGAAAATGATCCAAATTTAGACTCTGACGAAGCATACAATTTCGAAAACAATGTAAATTTCACTATGATTAATTGAATTGAGGAAAAAATTTGCGTTTTTAGAATTTGGCTGAGTTTTATTTCACTGTTGAATACCGCGTGAGACTTAAGCAACAGAAACAAAGGGTCTTTCCCCAAACAGAATATTGTTTGCCCTTTGAAGTTGCAAGACTCGGTGAAAAACAAATACTAAGCTAATTCGTGTTTTTCACGGCAGTGCTGTGAGAGAAAGTTCTTGATAACGGTTAATTATTGACAACGAGGGGGAGGGAGGGGTTAGTTTTACTAGTTACCAGTCTTGGCATAAAGACATCATGGCGGCTGCCTTGAAGATACGATGTACTTCTTTGCCTTTTGTCGTATTCCAAAGTAACAAAAGATGTAAGTGCATCTCAGCCCTTGAATCGTAAAATGTCAATCGCTTATACAAGGATAGAATCTGCACTGAACAGAAATATGGCTAACTATGGCAACTTTTTTTCACGTTATGCTGACATTCTTGTTTTGTTCCTTAATTAGGTATCCCCACAAGCTTGCAGTTTTTTGGAAAAAAAGGAAAGCGAAATACAGTACAAAGGTAGTCAAATTAGACTTTGGATCTCTTATCTTTCTCTATTAGCTCATTAAAAGTTATTGATTTCTTAATCGTCAGTTTGAGTCGAATAAATATTTCTTCCAATTACTTTTTCTCTCAGCCGGTAGCGTGGTTTGGAGGTGTTGAAAATGGTTATCGTGGTGGTCATTTTTGGCCTGAGCCTGATCTAGTAGATAGTAAACTTACTCTCCTCAAGGTAAGTTTCAAATAAAGGCAACACGAGGTAGAAATTTGGGGGCAAATTGCCGTAAAGTGCCACAGCATTCGGAAACGAAATTGTGGTCCGAAAGACTTGCTTTCGTCATTGTTTTCTTTATCCAAGAGCTCTATGCATAATGAACTATGGGGAAGTGCACAAATCTTGGCCAACTCTTTGAAACCATCGTTTTCGTAAACACGTTATACCTACTTACTGAAGCCTTCCTTGCTTTTTTCTTAGGCTTGCTCCTTCCTCCGATTCAATTTGCGTTAAGTTTTAAGAAATTTTGAAATAAAAACAGTCCATCTTTCGTTATGAAGAATTTTTTAAGCCACCAGGTTTTTAATATCGCTTAACTTCTTGCGTTGGATTACTATGTAATATTATGCTAATTTATTAATGTTAAATCTATTATAACCTTCATTGTAAAAGTTCAAAGTACAACAGCTGAAGAGAAAAAAATATTATGAAATGCTATTGAATCTTTGAAACGTTTGAGGACAGATGATTAAATTTATATTGCCAAAACCATGAAATGAACTTTATTTCACATTATTCACTCCCTGGAGGTTAAAAGACACTACACTGGCAAAATTAATAGGGACCTTAACCAGTCAGGAGAGTGATATGCCAAGGAAGACAAATTGATTAAAAAATAAATCTATATTTTTGTTTGGAATTTCTTGAATGGCCGCATGAATGTTTGTACTGTCTCTAACAGTGCCGCATCTCAACCTCTGCATAATGTGTGTGATTCACATTGAGTTCCATATTGAAACTGAAATAATTTTCTGTCAGTGTTCCTGTACACAGACCACGCCAAATTTGGTTACTTCACGTTGATGTTTGCCAAGGACAGCTTCAACATACAAAAAGTTCTAAACGCTAGTGCTTAGCGATTGTTCTGCTCATTTGGTCTTTTGTTTTGTCACATCTTTGTTTCCATCATTCTCATGGTTTGTTCAAGGTCCCTAATATTGTTGTTATCAAGTTTGTTTCTTTGTTTTAAAACAATATTTATTTGTATTTGTAGAACCCAGAAGATGAAATGACAGAGTATCAAGAAAAGCAGTGGAATATTTACATCTGTAATGTAAGCTTTTCCCTTTTCAATTTTACATGAGTATGTAGTCGCTCTTTGCCTTTGATACTATTTTCACTCCAGGCAGTTTGGAGTAAATCTGAACACTTTTCATCTTCCTCTTGCTTCTTTGAAATCATTAGGTGTCCCCCAGTGGTTGTCACCAGCTTCTGGCCACTGGCTGTATTGATATCAGCAATTACATTACAGAGATGCCTGGAAAAGTGGAAGTTACTGTCACTCTTAAGCCAGCAATCAAGAAAGTTGTTTCTGGTAAAATTGAGTTTGAATTATCATGGATTATCCAGGAAGATGGCAGAGTCATTCAGTGAGTATTCTTCAGTAATTTCCATAGCTAGTTATTGTAATGATCATCTAGCCTATGTTTGGCATTTATAAATCAGTTACTATCATAATGCTATTTTAGATCCATGAACTTAATCAATAATCTTTCAAAGTGAGATATTATCATTTTTGCTGCATAATCACAAGGGTCAACTAAAATCTAAAGTTTACTTGCTCAATGGTTTTTATTCATGCAATTATTATTTGTTTTGTCTAAAAGTAATTGTATTGTGAAATTCCATTAACTCTTTTGCATTACCTTTACAGTCCCACAGATGAAGAGATATGGGAAGAGATAATGCAGGAGGTCAGAGAGGAACAAGCAAGAAGAAAAGCTGAGGGAAAGACAGCAAAACAAAAATCTTTGAAAAAAAGAAGGCGCAGGAAACGTGGCTGCTCAAGTAATACAGATTTTGCCACTGAAGAAGACAAAAAGAAAGATAAAAGCAATGAAGTTGGCTGCTCAAGTAGTACAAAAATTGCTGTTGGGGAAGATAAAGAAACTATTGAACAACAAGGTGGCATCTTCCCAAATGCTGAACCTCAGGTGGGTCCCTCATCTGGCAGCAATACCAAAGTGGGGTCAGGAAAGGTCAGGAGGCAGTCTTCACCTCATCATGCACATCTTAGCCCTGTTTCACCTCAAACACACCCACCTGCTGGCCAGGGTCTGCCACTAGAGAGTAAAGAGAAAAAAGAGGTGCAGAGTAAAAGGAACCTTCATAAAACTGTCAGGTTTCAAATTGATGAACAGCCTGAGGTATTACATCTTGTTGTACATGATGAAGAAGCAATGGAATCCTTGTCAGAAACTGTTTACAGAGAAACAGTTTTCATAAAGGAAGATGAAGTTGCAACAAAAGAAAAGTGCATTCCCAAGAGAGATGAAAATTCATGTAAGTTCTGTTTTGATTTCCAGCCTCCCATTCCAAATGGAAAGGGGCTTAAATTTGAATACTTTTCTCCTGTTTGATCTGATTTATTTTCAATCAAACAGTTTTATTGTAAGACTCCTTGGAACCTTGAGCTATAAGCACTAAATAAAAATCATAACTTTACATTTTTTTATTGTGAATTACAACTATTTTTGTTGATTATTGATGTTAACTTTTTTGTTCAGCCTCAAGTGGAAGCCAGCTTCACTCAGAGTTGGCCAGTTATGTTGAAGAGGAACTGAAGCTTGTTCAAGATGAATTATTATCTTCAGAAGAAGTCTGCTCAAAAGTTAAACTTGAAATGCAGAGAGCTATGTCATCAGGTGGGTGATCCATTTCCAAAATGATAAAGTGAAATACCTTGGAATTTCAAAAAAACTTATGTTAAGTTTTTTTCCCCACTAAGGAGTTATAAATCTTTTACTCCAGGATCCTATTGGTAATTCTCTTTACTGTCTGCAGTACAATTCTTATGATATTAGATCAGTAAAATTGGTATTGAATGGACTAATGCTATTGTTTTGATATTGTAAGGATAAATTCTGTCGTGATCATTCTCAGGAGTGAAAGCATTAAAAATATTAAAAAACAGCTAATCCCCAAACTAGAGATACTGCAAGTTTTTACACTTATTTCAGGTGTTAAAAGCCATGCTTAACTCACGCAGCCTATACAATGTATTTGTTTACTTTTTGTCTGTAGACCAGAAAGAAGAGTTTGAAAGCTTAAACCAAGGCTGGCTTATATCGGATAGCTTCCATTCCAAAGTGATGAAAAGAAAAGATGACCTTCTTGCCCTGTAAGTAATGAAGACTTGTTTTAGAAAAGAAATAAACATGTTCATTATGACCTAAAATGTAGTCTTACATTGTAATCCATGATCCAAAAACTCTGCACAGGTGCCTATATATGTTTACCAACTGCCTTTGATATGGATAACTGATCTATCTATCATATATTGCTTAATTAGTTCCTCTGGATTCATTTTTATTTCATACTATTTTTGTTAATAATAAAAAATGTGACCAATGGAATGAATAATGTTTGATTTACAGATCGAGAAGTTCCACTGTTTGTCCTTGTTATTTATTTGGGTTTTTCAGAGACTGTAGTGGTTCTGCTTAACTAAAGGTTGTATTTAGCTTGAGGCAGATTTGCTTGATTTTCTGTTTTCCTTTCACCAATATAGTGACAAAGGAAAAAACATTGAAAGTTGTCTTAACTTGCTGTGTTCAGATTTGAGACGCCTTTCAGAAGTGGAAGGTAAGTATTCAGTTGTTTCTCCTCCTTTTTCTCAGTTTAGTGTTATTGGGACTGGTTTAGTGAGCCTTGATTCTTAACCCTTTACACCCTAACATCATTCTGTATATATATATATATATATATATATATATATATATATATATATATATATATAAACTCCAAACTGTTCTCTTTACATTTCCTAAGGTGCTGATAAGGTGAATTTGTTTAACAACCTTGAGTTTCTTTACATAGTGATCATTTCCTTTATCCTTGTGATATTCTAAAGAGAAATTAGATGCTATTCACTCTTCAGGGCCAAAGGCATAAGCCAAAATGTAGATGAAGGAAACAATGTTTTGTGTTTTGATTTTAGGGTGGAGGAAAACAGATGAGAACAAAGCTCATGAAAAAAGAGTTGCTGGACTCATTGCTGCAATTCACCAGCAAAGCCTTCATGCCTAAATAACGGTAAGAAACAGTAATCTTAACTAATTTGAAATGCAAGTTATTAATTGTGGCTCTAACGCTTCATATAATAGCAGTCAATGTTGTATCTTAATTAGTTGAAATTCAAGGCCTATAGCTAATTTAATTTTCAGTGTTTTTGATTACTACAATCTAGCAATAAAACATACTGTCTATAATTCTGTCATATGAAGTGGTGCAGATGTTCTTATGTTGGTTTATTTTCTTTTTTGCATTTCAGACTGAAGGAAAATTCATGTATTTTTGAATATTGGTCATTTGTGTTCTGGATTCTTGTGAAAAAATTGTGGCAAGAATTGCCTTTTAATAAGAAGATGCTGTTGCTCTTTTTTCAAACAAATTGTTCTTTAATAAGTTCATTTATAACAGTATCTTAAGTATAATTTTTCTAAAAATGATATATGATATTGAGTGCTCTATATTCAGAAAGAAAAATTATTTTGATGAAACATTTTCTCTCACCATTGTAAATAATCCTTTGTAAACAGTCCAAAATATGTTTTGTAAACAAGTCATGGTGCATTCTTGTTTCAATCTTTTAATGCGATTTGAATTTTTAAGTATCAATTTCTTCCTGCAGTTTTTATGAAGCCACTGTAAGTTGTAATAATAGCACATTCCAAATCCTTTTCCTTATATTGAAATGATGTACTTTAAGTAGTTTTATGAGACAGATCTCCTGTCTTAATTGTAAACAATATTTTGTAACTAGCTCATCTTATGGTTTGTGAAGTTTATCATCTGTACAAAAACACTTTTTTCCTGCGATATCCATGAAGCCACTGTCAAAGTAACACATTCCAAATTATTTTTCTTATTTTCAAAAGATCTGCTTTTCAAATAGTAACTCACAGGTAAAAGACCTAATACTCTCTTGTCAATATAACTTGCCTAAAAATGAAGAAAAACTTTGTTTACTTCTTGAAGATTTTTTGAGGTAAAGCAAAGCAAATGTCAACAGTCATGCTAAGTGGTTACATGTGCATAATTGTGGCAGTTTGGTTTATGAGTGAATCAGTATTGGTGCTGATGTTGGGGGAACACATTGTAATGGAGACTGAGAGACAATCAGAGTGACTTCAATATATATTCAGAACTTAACCTCACAGAAATAATGACATAATCAATTCAACTTGACCTTTCAAATCTGTGACATGTCAGTCATTCTCATTAATTTAAGCTTGAAACTCTTTCTTGATGCAGTTGAAGTCTTTTTTGTCAATCACACATTAATTTTTTTCTTTGTTGCATAACATTTTATATGTAAGACTCTTGTACTGACATTGGTATTGAGGTCATTATGCAGTGGCTCTGAAATAAAAAAAAAAAACAGTTAAAAGTTTATGCTCATAACTTCCTGTTATTATTGGATGGTTTCTTTTAATTTGTAGTACTTTTGTATGTACATTACTACTGAGATCGTTTTGCAGCGGCTTCAAAGTATGAAAAAACCTGTAATTATTTTCTGGCTACTTATCATATTATTTTTTAATATTCTTTTATGAATGTTGGTTTTGAGATAATTCTACAGTGGCTTCAAAGTATGAAAAGAAAAACCTGTAAGTTAAGTATTAATAAACTTTGTTGTTGTAAAGTATGTGATGATCATTGTTGTGTTCATGAGGCCATTTCGATTGAGTGTCGAAATTAAAGTGATCCGTGATTGCCACAGTTTTACTTCACCATTCTCGGTGATCAGGCCAGAAAACTCACCCCAAATGCAAGACTAAGACTAGTCGCTGCTCAATTTTTCCCGCGCTTTGGGAAGTTTCCTTAGCTTCACTTATAGTTCTCATTGGCTCCTTGACTGACCCTCGTAATCACATTGGTTTATATCTTTCATCATACTATGAAAATTTACACGACTCAAGTGAGTGTCGAAATTAAAGTGATCCGTGATTGCGACAGTTTTACCTCACCATCCTCAGTCATTGGGCCAGAAAACTCGCCCCAAATGTAGTACTACAACCTAATGAGAGAGATATGTGGGAAATATTAGATGAGCCGGGCTGATTATATTTTACAAGATGACTATCGTCCCGTTTTAAAATACCTTAGCCGGTTAAGATTGAAGAGATCTTGACGCAAGTGTTAAAGAAACAAATCAAAGAAATAATGGTTATGACACCAAATATAACAATAACTTTTCGATCGCAAGACAACCAGCTTAACTCACTTGTCATGTGTCGACTTGGCACTCGGAGAGCTCAGATACGCAGATTGTGTTGTGAGCCTCCTGTCGGTAGATCAATTCTGATAACAAGTAATGTGATAATCAGGATATGTATGGTACCATACGATACACAGGCCACTATCCACTCAGAGCTTTCACCCCGCTTCACAGGTTAGAACTGTTGCGCAAGATTTTAAAACGGTAAAAACATTTGCATAACTGTGTAATCATGGTATTAAAATCGTCTGGTTGTTAATTCTACTACCGTCAACGAAACGTGGAGGGGACAGGGGGCAGGAGCCCGGGAGAACAGGGGGCGGGAGAGGGCGGGAAGCGGGAGCTACATGAGGGCGGGAAGCGGGGGCAGAAATAAAGAAGGCGATAGTTTGTTTTTTATTACTGGGTATTATTCAATCAAGAACACTTACCTAGCAAATTTTTGAAATGTCCATTTAACATCACCAGTGCTTAAAAGAAAATTTTGGAAGCAAGAAAACGTAAATTTGTACTCGGGCTGGAAAAATAGTGAATTTGGAAATCCTTTCAATTCGGTTACGTCATAAGTCATGAAATAGCATGACACTTGACACATGTACACGTCTGGTAAGTTGTAGCTGTCGAAAATCTCCAGCAAAGAAAGCGATTCAGGTTCATATAGGTCAAATGTCGTCAAAGACTACATTAATCGGCCTCAGCACTTTTCGGTGTGGCAGCAAAAAATCCGTTCATGGAAGACCTTGGGAGCTCGCTCCTTACAAGTGCACATCCTAACTTACTGAAGATTTTGCCTCCTGGTGCAAACTTAAAACTTCCGCAGAAGTTTAAATGAGGTTTCAACCTATCGAGCAAATCTGATAATCAGCCGACTACGAATGTTCAATCACGCTTCACTAGCACTTAAACTGGACACTCAAAATGCAAACGGTTCAATAATTGATGGGCAGTAATTTAAATGATCCTTTGGAGTCAGCTTTTTTATTTGCTCACGACTAGCTACGACAAGTTACTTACATCAAAAAGGGAAAGCAGGCACGGATGCAGGAGAAGCAAACTCTAAACGTTACGTCTGGCTCTTGATTTTTACAATTGCTTTTGAAATGGCATTCTTGAATGCATGGAAAAGCCTATATTAAATTGCAATAGCTATTACATCACACAGAAGACTGAGACTTTCGTCTCTATAACGAGATGCCAGAAGCGATGGTCAAACTGTGATAACCAGGTTAAACTTAGTTTAATTAGGAAAACTGACCTGTAATATCTTTCATCGGTCCGATGATCCTCCCGCCAAAACAAAGACCAGAAGATGAACAAGAATGTTAAGTTTTGGCTAAGTTTGAAAGTTAATGATTGATTAACCAGAAGACGGGAGCAACACAATCAAGGGTGGTAGTCGGGAGGCAAAGGAACACAAAAGTATGGGAGGCGGGAGAACGTGGTACAGGAAGCGGGAGACTCTGACCCCTCTGTCACCCCTCACCGAAAAATGAATAATATAACATCTACAGCTTACAAAAGTACGGGAGGCGGAAGAACGTGGTACGGGAAACTGGAGACTGACCCCCTGTCCCCCCTCACCGAAAGTGAATAACATCTGCAACTTACAGTAAGGGGAGGGGGGCAGGCTAATTTCCCAAACAGCGCTATCTATCGAGTCTACCTCTCTTCCTTTCTCGAGAGACGAAGAAAAAGGACCCTGGGAACGAGGCTGTTGGGTCTATTACTTCCTCGCGTGCTTAACATACTGAAGCTAGTATATATACAAGAATCAGAGCAGTTGCGCTTTTTGTCTTGCCAGCCGAGTGACAGAATGATAGGGCCTGTGCTCATCATCAGTAACTGTACTTTTTCTTCGGTTGCTTGATGAACATTTCTTTGTGCACCGGGTGCCTGGGGCAGTTGCATTGCCTAGAACCACTTGACAGTGAACGAAAGCAAATGAATGATCATCAATTAACTCGAAAACTCCTGAGCTAAACTTCTGTAAGCTTACAGCGCGAGCACCTACTACTGCCTCCTCAGACTTACCATGCATTTCACAAAGATAGAGTTGCACATGGTCCGTCATTCCATTTTCTTCGCCTCTCAAGCTGATCCATATCCATTCATTTGGTGTACGTAGAGAGGCAACGGCTTGTTGCTCGGGTGCTTAATTTCTCGCGGCGTATGAATGGATATGGATCAGCTTGTATAGACATCCTAATATCAAACTTAAGTTTGGATCCAAGAGATTCGCGGGCGGATTTTGCTGCATTTCAGTTTAGTCTGTTAGTAGTGAAGACATTTGTAGTCATTGTAAAAATAACAATAGTAATGATACTAATGATATCGAAAATTACTACGATAATAATGATAATAGTAATAATAATGGATCAATATCAGTATCTGGGCAACTGCCCACCATCACCCCCCCCCCAACTCAACAATAGTCAATTGACAACAAGTTAGGGTTAATGTTGGGTTAGGGGAGGGGTAGGTGGGCAGTTGCCCAGATACTGATATTGAATTATAATAATAATGACAATCATGATAAGAATAATAATGACAAAATAATAATAATAATAATAATAATAATAACAATAATAAATTATAACATAAAACTTTATTCATAGATTTAAAGAAAATAGACTATTTACAGAATTCAAGAATATGAATATTAAAATATATACCCTATTGTACATTCTTCTTGTTTACGAAAGAGAATTGTCGTAAAATGACTATCTAAAGACTACTAATAACAATTATAAAAAGCATCAAAAAGTTAATAAAGAAATAAAAACTATCTAAAAATAATGGTTCAAAC